TTTGACTGGGCTTTTCCCCCAGCCCCCAACATCCTATTGTTATCTCCATTGTCTATTATCTTAGGCCACTGTTACAAATTGAATTGTGTTTGCCAAAAAGGTATGAAGTCCCAACCCCTGGTACCTGAGAACACTTGACAATAGGACCTCTGGAGATGTTATCAGTTATGTCAACATGAGGTCATAGTGGAGGAAGATGGGTCCTAACCCAATATGAACAGTTTTCTTATAAAAGAGTCACAGACACCAAGGGAACACAGCCATGTGAAGACGAGGCAGAGACTAAAGTAGTCCTTGATACGCCAAGGAATGCCAAGGATGCCAGGAACAACCAGAAGCTAAGAAGAGGCAAAGAAGGATCTTCTCCTAGAGCCTTCAGAGCACATGGCCCTGCTGTCATCTTGACCTAAGTTTACAGATCTAGGAGACCATAGACACCTGTTGTTGTAAGCCACTGAGTTTGTGGTAATTTGTTAAAACAACACTGGGAAACTACTACAGCTACCATCACCTTTCCCTACCTTCCATCCATTTCTCTCATGCAGACAGAATGATCATTCCAAAATTAAAATACAATCATACCACTCTGCTTAAAACTCCTCAATGTCTCCCCATTGCCTTTAGGATAAAGTTTGAACTCTTTAATCAGGCATATAAAACTTCATAATCCAGCCGCCAGTTACCTCTTGAACTCATTTCTTAACATCGGCGGGAATGCCTTTCCCACATCACCCCGCGCCATCTCTAAACCCAGCCAGTCCACTGGAGCCCTCTGCAGATCCTCATGGTCTGCAGCTCTCTCCCCTGGGCCTCTGCAACGTTGCTCCCTTTCTCTACTCTGGAAGTTCTCAAACTGAACTAATACAAAAATTATGTGTGCATGAATGCACATGTGTACATGAATGCACATGTGTACAAACACATATGCATGTAAACTTAACAAATAATTTTGTCAATATTTATAAATCCCCCAATCACCAATTTTGGATCTTATGCTTTAAAGCATAATAAGCAAGCTTAGAGCCGATACCAAAAAAATTCTGAAATATATTATTCAGAATTTTTACATATAAAGCATATATACACAAAACAATACAACATACTGCCGTCCAGTCAGATCCAACTCATAGCAACCCCTTCTTGGGTTTCCAAGGCGGTATCACTACGGAAGTAGACTGCCCAACCTTCCTTCCTAGGAGTGGCTGGTGGGTTTGAACTGCCAGCCTTCTGGTTAGCAGTCAAATGCTTTAGGCACCATGCCACCGGAGCTCCTAAAGCCTACAGCACCTGTATTCACAGGCAGTCTCCCATCCAAGTACTAATCAGGCCTGACCTTGCTCCACCTTCGAGATCTGAGGAGATCAGGTGCGTTCAGAGTAGGATGGCCGTAGACAAAGCATATATGAATATACATATAACAATACTATCTTTTATGTCACCACAATGTTCTCCATTGCCCCTTATTCTCAAAGAAGGCTAGTTAAATTATATTTTGAAGTTGCTTTCCTTACGAAGGGTTTCCTCAAGTGAAAAACATCTCTTCACTGCTCTGAGAACAGCGGGATCCTAGGATCTGAATAGTTCTGCCTCATAAGAATGCCTGAGCATGCTGTTACCGGGGGAAAAAAAAAAAAAACTTAAAAAAAATTGGATGATATTAGATGAACAGCTGTGTAGAAAGGGGAATGTAAAAATAAAACCTGCATGTTGGAGCATCAAAATAGTAACCATGTACAGTATATGACTGTTTTTAATCAGATGAAGATTGAAGCTATTACATTTCAAATCAAATGTTATAAATTAGTTCAAGAATGCAGCTGAGCTCTCATTTAATTAGAAATGTCCATGTTTAAATCATGAGGTACAGTAGCTGCCAATGAAGCAAAAGGGCAAGGGAAGGGAGAAACAGTGTGTCCAGACCCTCTGATTCTCAACTGTCTTCCACACGGGGTAAACATCTGGGGCAGACTCATCCTGATGTCATGAAGAACTCCATGTACTAGCTAATTTGAGATTTAATGCAATTGTCCATAATTGTTTTGAAGACAATTAAAATCATTATTCTGGTCTGGACAACTCTGAACTCTTCATTTTTGTGTGAAACATACTTTTCCCCGTGCTGCATTTTTTAACTCCTTCTTAGATTGAAAGTGAAGCAAATTTGGGGCCATGATTTCCCTGGGAAATGACCCCTGACTGTCAGGTCACCTTAAAAGGCACCTCAAGCTGTGAGTATTCCTTTGGAAACAAGTCTCATTTCCTATTTCTAGTGTTTGATGCAGCTCAGCTAAAGTCCAAATCTATATCCCAAATGTTAGACAATTCATTATTAAATAAAAATGAGGCAACATCACAGAGGGATTTCTGAGGTTGTACAGAGAAGAATGCAATTATCCTACAGCAGACTTTTCCCCTGAAGGTTATGAGCCTCTGCGTATTGTAATTAACCATGCTGCAGCTAGACAGTCCACGCAAGAGGCCTTTCTTGTCTCCCAAGTGGCCTAATTCAAAAACACCTCAAGTGACATAGCTCAAATTTTCCAAATTAAATTTACCCCTGGGGCTGAAATTAAGCATATGACAGTTTGGCTCTCAAGAAAATCTTAGAGAAAGTTGTACATAAGGGGAAAAAAAAAATCAGAGGAAAAGAGTAGGAGTTAACATTTAAGTGGTTTTTCAACCTCATCATTACCCCTGCTCAAGAAAATAGAACACAGATGGGCAAAACACACAACCGTTCTGCCCTGAAGAGTCTAAGGAACTCGTTAGACACCACTGCTGTTTCTGCACTATCTATTGTGAACTTGTAAGGGACAAAATTATAATTTTTTTGCCATGTCCCATAGCATTTAGTGTTACATAATGTCACAGGATGGAAAGCAGAAGGATGAGTTACAAAGACACAGTGTGCCACTGCAACCCATAAAAGCTTATTGTTGATAAAATTCTTAAAGGTCTACTTTTCCCAGGGGATCAAGGAGTGATTATATTGTCACGAGCTGTTCTAGTTTGTAAAAAAGGTTTACATTAAGGAATAACACACGACCCCAAACTTTCTCTTACTTCTGGCCACAGCGCCACACTCTTCCACTCCTACCCCAGAAAGAGGGTAAATCGGAACCAGGTCCACTGCTCCAAGGCAAGGGTGGATTCCCTCTTGAACCTCCATGTTGATAGACCGGAAGGCTTCCACACAGGCAGCAAGAACAGAACTGCCTTAAAAACGTCAAATTGTAAAAGAATAATCATTCAACTTTCAATGGCACCTTAAGAAGGAACTATGATTTTGTTCCCTAGTTGCTTTTCTTTTGTAATCTGTTATTTGTTTGTTTTCCCATCCAAAATAATGAAACATAAAATACTCAACAACACTTCCTCTCACCTCAAACTCTGATTATCATAAAATGTCACATTTCTTCCAGCCCTTTATTCCAAAAATGGAGCAATTATGTAGTGTTTATAAGTCTTAAGAAGTTCAGTGGGTTTATCTTTTCTTTTTAAACAAATCCCTTTAAATTTTTTTATTTTATCAAATTAATTTGATAAAATTCCTTGTTATATTCAAAATATTTTAGGAATTCTATTTTAAAATGCACACAATATAAATTGTAAAAGTTCTTTCCAGTAATTAAATTTTCCATTGAATTGTTATATTCAAATATATATTATAGATATCTAAGAGTTTATTAGGAGCTCTGATAGCATAGTGCCTAAGGCAGTTGACTGCTAACCAGAAGGCTGGTGGTTCAAACCCACCAGCCACTCCTTGGAAGGAAGGTTGGGCAATCCTACTTCTGTAGTAATACTGCCTCGGAAATCAAGGAGGGGTCTCTGTGAGTCGGGGCCAACTCGACAGCACATAACAACAACAACAAGAGTTTATTACCCTGAATTTTCACCAGAAGTGCATTGTGATACCATCTTAGCAATAGAGATCAACAACAATAAGAAATAAGGTTTTATGTCTTACTTTATGATTAATATTCAAAATAATCTGTCTATGGTTGGAGTTACCAGTGAGAGGTTGACTTTCAAAGCAAACACACTCTTTTAAAGAGGATAATCTGCCAAGTCTAAATTAAGTTTATTTGAAAGGATTTTAAATATTTGAATATTAAAATAATACTGGTTTTTCTTTTAAACAATTGTAATTCTTCAAATTCAAGTTGTCCTAGTAAACTTTACAACATCCTCATGAGACACGGAACCCATTTCATTGAACCCATTGTCCACCTCAAGATTCCGAGCTCCCAACCCAAAATATAATTGCTTACCATGTTTGTTTCCATAGTCATTTGTAAGTGAAATTAGGGCAGAATTTAACACTATCATATCAATGTTTAAGATATGAAGATGTTTTTTTCCCAACAACAAAGTATATATGATCATCTTCTGCAAAAGAATGCTATTAAATCTTGGACACTGAGGTTCATTTTAATAGAGAGGAAATGGGAAACATGTGAGATGTACATGTTCAGAAAAATGTTGACATGATCCAAAAACCAAACCAAACTCATTGTCATTGAGTCGGATGTGACTCACAGTGACTCTTCCTTGGGTTTCCGAGGTGGTATCACTACGGAAGTAGATTGCCCAATCTTCCTTCCAAGGAGTGGCTGGTGGGTTTGAACCGCCAGCCTTCATGATAGATTCTACTCAATGGGGAGTCCTTGGGTGGTACAAACAGTTAGCTCACTCAGCCACTAAACAAAACATTGGAGGTTTGAGTCCAACTAGAGGTTCCTCAGAATTCCTTTCTGGCCTGGTGGTCTACTTCTGAAAGACTGGCCACCAAAAATGCTATGGAGCACAGTTCTACCTCTGACACACAAGGATGCCATGAGACAAAATTGACTTAACAGCATTTGTTTTCTTTTTACTTAACAAAGGGATGGATTCAGAATTATATAGGAAATCAATGATCGAAGAACATTCAGATCTACCTGAAACCTAACCTTCATCAAAAAACATACATGTAAAGAAAGAAATTGAAATCTTACCCAGTCTATCAACAGACGCTGCTATTGTAATGACTGATCTATTGTAGTCTTGATCAGAAAATATATTAAGCACTGATACTTCAGGATGTTCCTGCCCTGTAGAGAAGACATCACAAAACCCAAGTTATTTTTTTCTATGATGAAATCTTAATACTTCATTTCTTCTGATATAATTAAATTTAATAGAAAAATTCTGGAATGTGACCTTTGGAAGAGTCATTGGCTGAGCATGCCCACTTCTTACAGCACCTAACTTGAAAATGAGATGGCTTAGCTCAAACACTAGCTTTTGTTGTCTATGAGAGATCTTCTCCTGGACTTGCAACTAAGTTTCCCAAATCAAGTTGCCAAAGTTCTCTTAACTCAGGCTAAGATGGTAGCTTTCTTCAATTACCAAATCATATTACTCCAAATTCTGTTCCACATTAATCTCATCTCCCAGGCCCTGTCACTTTTTCCTTCCAAAACCCCTAAGTTAAAATGTCTGGGTCAAAATCAGAGTCCCTGGGTGGTGCAGTTAATGTGCTCGATGGCCAACTGAAAGGTTGGAGAAGTGCCTCGAAGAAAGGCCTGGCAATCTACTGCTGAAAAAAATCAGCCATTGAGAACCTTGGAGCACAGTTCTACTTGGACACACATGGGGTTACCGTGAGTCAGAAACAACTAAACAGCAAAGGGTGGTGGTAGTGATAGATCAAAATGTGACATCTGGAAGAACTAGGTTAGGCCAATTAGTACCTGGAGTGGAGGTTTCTGGGATGCATGCACCTGTCCATTAGAAACTGGTTGGACTCCACCATCTCCTTCTCAGAGGCCACCAACAGCCTTCAGATGTTAACAACTTCCAGGTTTTGATAGCCTGTGACTCCTTAGAATGTATAACCAACCTAGAGCAGAAAAGTCTCCATACTCTTATATGGCAGCCACTCACAACCCCAAAGTTATTTTTGAAATTTACAAGCCTGATTCAAGCTCCTTAAAAGTTCCCCTTAAGCCTACAAAAGCAAATTCAAAGTAAAGGACAAAAGTTTTCAGGCGGTAATTAAACCTTTAGCTATGTTATTATACCTTGTCCCTCTGTCTCTTGGCAGCTTAACAATTAATCTTTTCAGAGGGAAGGAAAAATAAGTTATACCCAGGAACCCACAGAGCTTACAACAGCCTACACAATTAATTTTAATAACGTGAGAAGATAAACATATGCCACTCACTCATAGCCAAACGAGCATCTACAGAGTATTACCCTAGTGACAGTCTGAAATTTTAACCCAGAGTCCTTTACCTAAGCTCTTTAGAGGCCATTTACTTGTTCTCACATTGCTTAATTAGGAAAAAAAAAATAGTTCATATATATATATATTTTTTTCCCACTCATTTAAAAATAAATGCCTTTCAAATATTTGTAAAACAACAGGTTCGTTTTCTAAACTAGCACTACCTTCCCTTCATTTTTAAAAAGATTAAAATGAAACAAGAACATGATCACACAACCTCCAATTTTATGTCATTTTTAACATTCTTTAGCTCTGGGAAGAAAAAAGATGTAATTTTTTTTTTTTTTCATCCTAAATCTTCTTCTGAAAAGCTTTTATTCTCAGTTTCATGTGATTCAATTGAATCAAATGCTGAAAGAATGAAACACTCTTGCCTGCAATTTCTTAAGCTTGCATATAGAAAAAAATTACTGCTGGCAGGAGTAGCTGTCAGTGTGAATCTCAGCAGAAGTAAATTGTTTGGTATTTGTAATGGAGTATAATAGCTATAATTCCATTTGAGCTGCTGCCACTAATAAGCTGATAAAAACTGTGAGTTGAGGCCCAGGCATCCATCAGAGTATGGCTTCCACAAAAGTCTCTGCACATTCACTTAATCACAGACAGGTAACCCAACCCCATTAGGTGTACTGTTTCTGGCAATGAGGAGCCCAAACTGGCTCTTCCTGCAAAGGAATGCAAACCTACAGCTGTATACAGACTTCAGGTGAGTTTTCTTATCAGCAATTATCAGGAATTCTCATAGATATGCTCTGCTCCTGCTAAGCTGCAAGACAGTTACTTAAATGTGAGCATCATTAGAAATGGGTTAGGGGACAACACTCCCTTGCCATGAAAAGTAGTAACCAATTAAGAAATGACAATTAGAAATTGAAACAGACTCTCCAGTGCTTTAGGGCTGGGACTCTAATGCTCACGTGTTGCCCCAAACTGTTGATTTAATAACAAAGCATTTTCCATTTAAATGATTTCAAGTGTGTAAATATATTGGGGGTGTGTGTGTGTGTAAAGTTCAAACAAACAATATCTCAGAAATGTCTGTCATCACATGAACATTTGAACAAAGGATTTAAAAAAATAAAAAAGAGTAGTGTCTCTTATAGTCAACACCAGCCAGAGGACTAAGGAGTCTTGAGTTCCAGTTTTCCATCACTGAATTACTGGGTAATTTTATACATATCACATAAATACAATTGCCTAAAACTCTTTACGCAAACAAAATAGAGTAGAAATTGTAACACTGTAATGACAGCATGGACTTTGCTGGTAGGAATGTTTTGAAAAGTGATTAGTATTAGAGAAGTCTATTTTTTATTCAACGCTACATAAAAAGGATAATATGATTATGCTCATTCTATTAATGATCAAATAAACAGCCCATGGGGGCAAACACTAAGCCTCCATGTAAACTTATCTTTCTCAGGATCCTGTCAAATCCTGAACAATGAGCATCTGAGAGACTTCCACTCAGGTGTGAAGATCTGCACTGCAGAAGAGTTCAGGCATTTGGAACTGTGCATGTGTCTGTCTGAGGAACTGAGCGAGCTCAGTAGCCTGGAGTTGTGCGGAAAAAGCTGTGGCAGACCAAGAACAAGGCAGAGAGGAGGAAATCAGGGGGAAAGAGAATGGAAAAGTGTGGTATGATACAACTTTGTCAGCAAAGCATGAAAGGTATTATCAAAACACTGCAATATTCACTTCTGTTGTCTGGTGTTCTACCATTTTCACCAAGAAGAGCTGCTTTTGCTATGTTCTCAACAACATATTTTCTTCTGGCTTCTGAAATGTTTAGTAAACAGGCAGCCAAACGGAGTCCCGGTCTGGAGGAAGACATGGTGATTTTTCTAGAAGAAGAAAATGATTCTCCATTTCAGTCTCCAAAGTTTCATTCATATTTTCATGTTCATTAACCATAAAAAAAAAATCATAGCTTTTTGGAAACTAGGCAGTAATATTATGAATACTTCACTATTACATTTCTAGAGAACTCCTAAAGGTTAAAATCCTCAGACTGACTCAACCAAGAAACCAAGGGAAAGTAGTCAAGGCCTTATGAACAAAGTAGTAACAACACTAAGATACATCTTCCAAGTTATTTAGGTTGAATTCTATCATGTAAATGAAACTTTTTCATGAAAGTATGTTATTATTTCATTTTCATCACCCTTCCTTAGCTTAACCCTTTTTCAGGGTCTGTACTACTTCACAAAGAGTGGGGGAAAAATCCTTTCCCTAAATAAGACTTACTGGGGAAATGCTGAAAGGCAGAATGAGGAAAATTATTTAGTATACTGATTCTTACAAAAACCACATGGTGGCAAAAGGTATCTCTACAAGCCAATCATGGGCATTACTTGAACAAATCAAAGAGCCTGATTTGGGTGCTTTAAATGATAGTTATCTGACTAAATTCCACTTGTACTTCGATCTCCAAAGTTTCTGAATCAATTTAAAATCTTCTCCTGGGACTTTGTACCTTGAACTGAAAGCTGACATAGACTGATATGTCAGAGGTTACTCAACAAGGTCAAAACTTCGAGTAAATTTTTTATTGAAAATGGATAAATTTCACGAGTTTAGAAGGTTGCTTTGGGTTTTTTTTTTTTTTTTTTTAAGTACTGTAGAATGGCATTTTTTGATTCATTATCTTTCCATATCTCAAATGATATTATGATCTAAAGGAGTTAAAATATCTCAAAATAAGAAAATAATGCCTCTTTTCAAGATCATGAATTTGGGGCTTCTTTTACAGCGTAACTAAACATAAATGTTGCCCTGCGGATTCATTTAAGGAATAGTTGAGAGGGGTCATCTTGTGCCAGGTAATATTCTCCGCGGCAGATTACTGCAGTGAGCCATGTCCAACTCTGAGACAAACCCCGAGCTTATGACTTTAAGCTACAAGGGCTCTGGTGCAAGTAACGGTGCTCTCAGTACATAAAGCCGCTGGCTTCTGTTCACTGAGATAGTTTGCTGGCTTGACCATCTGAACAGCTAGTGCAGCGCTTCATGGCTAGCTCAGGCTCCCAAGCACAATTTCATATTGTGATCATGGTTTCATAACTGGAAATTCATAAAATAGTCATTAGACTTTTCTAGACATTAATAATATTGTAACAAGACAGCTCAGACCTCTCTCGTTTCTATGTAAACAAAAAATTGCTTTACACAAGGGGTGTGGGCGTCTTCTGGTTTTCATTTGTTTTCAGTGTTTATGTAGCTTAATTGTCTCATCAGGCACTTTCCCAACATAATTATGCTTTTTAACAAATGGTGTTTATGGCAACCCCTAACAGTGCAAAAGAAAGGATTAGTTTCATCCTCTCATGCCACATTTTGATTCCCTGTGGACAGCTAAATCACACAAAGACGGTGTTAGAAAAATCTACCTCCACACCAAAAGCTGAAATTAGCAGCAGCATTTGGAGAGCAGTCAGGCTTGTTAGTAAAAAAAGGTATTTCTCTCCCTCTTCGACGAAATGTGACCCCAAATCACGACCCAAAACACTTTGTGGTTTGGGAGTCCGTCATTCCTTCAGTGACAGTTCTATTACGTCCGGCGATCAAACCAAACGCCTGCCTCCCCCTGGGAGGTATGGTGGGCCAAGTGTGGAGCGAAGTAGGTCCGGGAGGGTTCCCCTAAATCACCTGCCAGCTCCCGAACCATTCGCACTTTGGAGGCCGTGATGAGAGGCTCGCCGAGGGGCAGTTGCGCGTGCTCGAGGCTAGAACCCGACCGCTGGCTTTCCCTGCTCTGTCACGCCTCGGTTCCGGAGGGACGTGTTCCAGGGTCAAGTGAGCCGAAGGTTAACCTGCGTGCGGCCGGAATTCTTGCTGCCCCCGCTGTTTCGCACCCGGTTTACTCTGGAGGGCCCCCGGGGCGTCCCCGGCCTTCCCTCTCCGAGGCCCGCCGGGAGCAGCGTCTGCAGACTGCAGAGACGCAGGGTAAGCGCGGGAAGCGAACGCTCCAACCCGGGCGCGGGCCCGCGGTGCGGCTGCGCTGCCCTGGGCCCGGCTCTCACTTCGCCAGCCGCTCGGCGGTTTGGGTTCCTCACTGATCTGTGCGCACCGAGTGGCGGCGGAGCAGGATGGCCGCCGAGTCCGAGGGCCGCGTGACCGACGCGCAGGCTCCGCTCCGGCTCCGCCTCCCGTGCGCTCCCTCCGGCCGCGGGTTCTCCCTGCACCCAAGGGCGCACTTCACCCAAACTGTCCGCTGCGTGAGACTTCTCTCTTCCCTTTTTCTCTCTGACCCTAACAACATGTGGTCAGTGTCCTTGAAAGCTTAATAGTACAGTTAATAGTACAGCTTAATCCTACAGTTCTCTATGGCAAATAAATTACTTTTTAAAAAGGCCTTAGAATCTAATGATTAGGTCATTACCCTTAATCATACGCCAGCAGGGGGCTCTTGTCTGTTTTTGTTGCCAGAGATAACTAAAACCCTCTTGTAAATTCCCTTCTGGGAGAACCAGTGCACTGGACTGCCTGGGAATAGAAACTGGACCCTCCCCCGGACAAAAGCAGTATTCGCATAGGCCCGTTGAGTCAAAACCAGGCATTAAGTATTTTCCTCTTTTCTAGGCCAGTGAACCTTGAGAACAGATTTCTCTTCCAGAAAATCAGGATCTCGTTTTTGGGGTGTGTGTGTGTGTGTTCAATGTACCAAGGATTAAATGTCACCATTTTGATCCAGTTTCGTTCCTGAAGTGAAATAATCACTAAATCACTACTTTGACGGAATAAATTAATTTTTAAATCTATTTTTTATTTTCTAATTATAATTTTCAAACACAGATTTGAGGAAATTAACATTTATGTGGACATTTGGTTTCTAGCCTAATGTGGCATAAAAATAAGTAACATAATGAGTGTTAAAAAAAATGAGGTTCATGATGCTTCTCACATCATCATCATTGTACTTAGATGTCACAACAGTATTATGTGCGATTATGTCAGATCCAGCCTTCTCCATCTCAGAGTGTTGGCAGGTAGGAGGGTTGTTGGCAAGAGGAGGGGTGTTAACCTCAGGATCCTGGATCCATTCCAAGGCTGGTAATTACATTCTGCCAGCCAAAATTCATCCCATAATTTTAATTGGATAAATCCTTTCTGGCCTAAGCTACTGCTATGCCTGTCAAACTGTTGCCACATTTCACCCCAGAGGTGTCTGTGTTTTAGTTGCAAGAATCAGTCCCTTTGAGGCTGGCTTATCAGTTTAAATCCTCAAAGGGCTTTGGGATCCTGCATGGGAGCTAAATATATATTTAGGTATTTTTGATTCTGAATCAATATATAAATACATAAAATATATACCCATGTCACTGTCTAAAATCCAATATCCATCTAATGTCATCATTTACTAGATAATTTTGAGGATTTTTTAACCAGATCGATGTCCCTAACTTTCTGTTCCTTCTCTTTGGAAAGCTTCTGTCACCTGTAGCATTAGCTTCCAATTGCTAAAAAAAAGTACTTCAGTGCCCAGAGATTCCTTCCATGGAAAGACAGTGGAACAGAAGCCCATATTTCACCACCCTATGATAAGACTACTTGCTAAAATAAAAGACAGAGTAGTATCATTATATCCAGTCTTGTCATGTCCCCCAGAGAAAGTGGCACTGAGGGGCATTACGGTTCTAGTTGTAGCAACTGCCAGAACTTAAGCTTCTTCTCCCATGTTTTCTAAACCTCTCTGAAAATCTCTCTCTTACCGGATAGCTGAGGGCATTAAATAACATTTCTGAAAGCATCGGCACTCAGTATTTACTCTGTAAACCGTAATTCCTGCCTCTACCTTACTCCATCAAACACAAATGGAAAGAAAACAGCTTCCCGGAATGCTTGGTGAAGGGCAGCGACTAAGAAGTGTAAGCATGACGTTTTGGAAAAGATGAGGAGACAGATACCACCAAATGCACTGAGAAATTTAACAATAAGTTTGAAAGTATTTGTTCTTCTCAAGAATGGAAAGGTGCCTTGGTGTTATTTAGCTTTGCCACATGTAATCCTACCCGGTTTGTTATTTAAAGGAGCTTTATGTATGGATATCGAACCTCTCATTTTTATTTAATGTAACATTCTTTGGAGGGTTTTTCATACTTTTTGACATAATGAATTGTTCTGACTTCTCCTTTCTCCCTCTAGGTCCATTTTCAAGGCATCAGCTCTTTTTGCTCATTATGGTCCCTGTCCAGAAACAGGCACTGGAATAGAAAGCATGTAGGTATCTGTTCTGTCAATAACAACTGCTGCTTCCTGATACTCCCATTTGTTCTCTTTAGTTAGGAGGAGATCTGGTGGTGCAGTGGTTAGAGCATTTGTCTGCTCACCAAAAGGTGGGTGGTTCAAACCCACCAGCTGCTCCACAGAAGAAAGTTGAGGCAGTCTGCTTCCATAAAGATTTATAGCCTTCAAACCCTACAGGCCAGTTCTACTCTGTTCTGTAGGGTCACTGTGAGTTGGAATCAACTTCATGGCAGTGGGCTTGGCTTAGATTTAGATAAAGAGGACACTTTTCTGCACCTTCCATTTTTGTTTTTACAATCTTAGTTCTTGTAGGTGATTTTCCTGACCTATCTGCACTGAGGAGAGCAAAAAGCATGCTCTTGCAAAAAGTCTCCACAGATCTATCTCAGCCCAGAGCCCGAATTTTTGGTTGAGCAGGATTGGATTAAGGTGAGGCCAGTAAGACACCCGAGTGCAAAATGTAAAGGGCTACCAGAAAATTCAGTATTGCAATATATTTAAAACAACAACAAAATCAATGTAAGGGAAAAAAAATTTAAATAAAGACGGGATCCAACCCTGCCCTTGCCTAACTCAGCCTCATTCACC